ATGTGTTTGGCTTTAAAACCGACGTCCATGCCATGAAAACAGAGCGAGATTTCCGACAACGTATGATTGCTCTGCCTTTTTCAGTCCTCGGATACCAAAAAGTAATAATAATAAATAAGAGGTTTGATTCTCTTGGCCACAAAAGGTTTCAGGAAATGGAAGCTTTATTTCTCTTTGCAAGTCATTCTAGTTTATTTGCCCATTAAATTAATGAACAGAGAAAGCCTCTTGCAATCCCACAACAGCCGTTTTTTTAAAAAAATTCAACCTACGATCCTAACCCACTCAGCCTTATTCCGAGCCCAATCAAAAGAAAACTCCACTAGGTTCTATGTGCATTTATCTCTCGGTGTCTATCAACAGGGGTGACCCCTTTATAACCGGTGGATTTCAACTCCTAGAATTCCTTGCTGGCTCAGGAATTCTGGGAGTTGAAGTCCACACGTCATAAAGGGGTCAAAGTTCCCTACCCATGATCTATAAAATTGTAGTTAAGGTATTTTAACTCTGTTTCAGTTGTGCATTCTTTTTATATATAAAAAAATCCTTAAGGAGTTAAGGTTTTTTGGAGAACTTGGGATACTCTATAATATACCTGTATAGAAAATGCAAAGGACTGAAAATGTTTTGGGTTTTTTTTTTTTTTAAAAAAAAACAGAATTAGGGCCACATTAAACATCTGTACACTCAATTAAGACATAATAAAAAACAGTGGCTTTCGGTCCTCTGATGCTTTCCTGGATAATTGCATGATTACAGCGTAGGTCATATATATATATTTATACGTGTGCTAAAAATTCTCTAGCTATTCAGTTGAAAGAAAAGAGGGAGGGGAATATCCAAAAGAGGGAAAATAAAACTTGAAAGAAGCAAAGGCTATGTTCCTTTAGAAAGATATTTTTGAAAAAAAAAAAATTGTCAAGAAAAATTGTTCTGGCATCACAGTGCCCCCTAGTGATCCGTCTTGGGCATTTCTCCCAACTCGCCCTCCCAATCTCTTAATCAGATATTAAGAACTCTTAATCAGATATTTAGGCAGGGCAATATGGAACTATCCAAGAGGTTGATAATTTGCTGGGGTCTTTGTAGTACTATGAGTAAATGTAATAATAGAATAGAATAGAAGAATTAGAATAGAATAGAATAGGATAGAATAGAATAGAATAGAATAGAATAGAATAGAATAGAAGAATTAGAATAGAATAGAAAAGAATAGAATAGTAAAGAATAGAATATAGAATATAGAATATAGAATTGAATTGAATTGAATTCTTTATTGGCCAAGTGTGATGAGTTCGGGGATGTACAGATAGTCTTTGACTTACAACCACAATTGAACCCAAAATGAAAAATGGGATTTGCCCCCATTTTACCGCCTCTCTTGCAACCGTTGTTAAGTGAATCAATGCAGGTGTTAAAGCTAGTCACACGGTTGTTAAATGAATCTGGCTTCCTCATTGACTGCTTGCCCAGAAGGTCACAAAAGGGGATCACGTGACCTCCAGGGACACTGCCACCGTCATAAATATGAACCAGTTGCCAAGCATCCTGAATTTTGATCAAGTGACCCTGCAGGGGATGCTGCAACGGTTGGAAGGAGGAAAAGCGGTCGTAAGCCACTTTTTCTCAGGGCCCTTGTAACTTTGAACGATCGCTAAATGAACTGTTGTAAGTCGAGGACTACCTGTACTGGTGTGAGCGAATGACCTTGGGAAACGGAGGGAGAGCCATAGACTAGAAAAGAGACGAAAGGCAGCTGAGCCCTCGGAAGGAATTCTCCCTAGCTTCCAAATGGGGTGGGGTTAAGATCTTGGAGCTAGCGGAATCATGGTTACAGAGGGATAAATCAAGGTTAAACCTCTATGGAGCTCCAGGCTCCCAAACAGACCCATCAGAATGAAAATCTTAGGCCAGAAGGACGGGCTCTCTACCAGTGGTGGGATTCAACCAGTGTGACAACGGGTTTGGTGAGTGCGCGTAGCGTTTGAACATCATCCATTTTTCAGCGCTAAAACTCACCTTCTGCTGCAGCCCCGGTGAGGAAAACAGCGGATGCGCGGCAATCTGCTATGGCACGCGAATCAACTGGGCTACAAAACACGGAAATATAGGACAGACTACCGCAGGGGCGGGGGGGGGGGCAACTAATCGCCGGAACTACCGGTTTGCAAACAAACCGGTCCGAATCCCGCCCCTGCTGTCTACTCAAACAAAGCAAGGTTATGGCATACGTTTGAAAGGAGACTGGGTGTCAAAACTCATAAGATATTTCTATGGTCTTTTTAGAGTTGCCAACAGAAAGGGAGGGGGAAAGGGATTTTGAAAGAGCAGTGCAGCAGCTTGGAAATCGAAAGTGCATTCCATAAATAGTTTTTCAAAGATAGTAACTGGGTGACTGAAGTTTCTGCCACGCAGATATCTAACTGGAGAGCATGATTGATGACTCTGGGCTATGGATGTGCCCCATTGGAGGATATGAATTACGATACACCCAGAGGGTGAGGGGAAAACCAGGGTCAAGGGTGACAATGTCTCATAGTCAGCCACACCAAGGCAGTGCCGGACATGTTAACTCCCAATAAATCCTTTTGAAGTTTTGGAAGTTTGGCTCGAGACTCATGATTTAATTGGGGGTAACTGCCGGAATCCTGACGCTGGGAAGCCCTATTCACAGGGAATATGCACGTAACAATTGTGGGTGGTTAGAAAGCTGATAAACGTAACAAAGAGTTAGGCATCTTGCAGACCTCAGCTAGAAGTTAGGAGCAAACAGAATGTGTGTATTAGATAATTCCTGAAGCATTCAAGATTTATATTAGCCAAAGCTTAACAATAGGGAGAGCTAGAGAAAAAAATAGAATTGTTAGATCATTAGTGAAATATTTATTAGATGATATTTCTTATATATGCTGCCTTCTGCTTTAGTGAAAATGTAAAAAGCTTTCTTCATTCTATTGTTCAGGGTTCCTGAGCATTTTCTGGCCAGGACCCCTTTTCTTGGAGCGCTTCAAAAAAAAAAAAGGAGATAAAACCTGCACTTTGTGTCTAGCGTTCTTCATCTGCCTCGGCACCAGGCTCAGACCCGAATTGGGGACAATAAAAGTGTGACTCCCATCTTCTCCCGAGAAAACAGATAAATAGCATAATGGAATGAGCGAATGGCCTTGGGAGACAGGAGGAAGAGCTGCAGACTAGGCAGTGGCCGAATAAGAAAGAGATGAGCCTGCCGAAGGAATGGAGCACGGGAAATCTTTTAGCGGGACTCTCCCTAACTTCTGAGGCTGTAAAAGGGGGGAGAATTGTACTTTTTAACTTGCAAGATTCCGTTCATGGATTTTGGGTCCTTGGTGCTCTCTGAGCTTGTCTGTTTCCTTGCAGGCGTTTCATTACCCAGCTAGGTAACGCCATCAGTCTTATTGCCTCTGACGCGCTAGCACTAATGACAACAGGCTGCTTAGCCTCCAGAAGGAATAAGGCCTGGAAAACATCTCAGAACGGACCCTCCCTAGTTTCTTGCACTGTAAAGGTGAGGGGGGAGAGAGAGAGAGAGAGAGAGAGAGAGAGAGAGAGAGAGAGAGATGTGCGTTACGCCTTGCAAGTTTCTGTTAACGCATCTTTACCGTAAGTTAATTAACCTTTATTGTCAGAGTACAACATGTGTACGATGAGATTGGCTTCTAAAATTAGCAGTAGAGCTCCTCTGGATGTGCTTCTTGGTCTCGATTACCTCGCAAGGCAGGTTCAAAGGGACTCGAGTGCCTCTCCAAAATACAGGCAGGAGAAACAACAGCCCTCCCGCATCCTCTCATCCGAGTTGAAATCCTAGAATCGTATCGTGCAAGAATTAGAAGATGAAACACACTCCAGACCGGGGTGAAAAGGAGTAGAAACCTCGGGTCTGTTCGTGTCACATCTTCTTGGCAACCAGGCTTGGTGCATGATCAAAAACAAAGGAAAAACAAAACAAAACAGGGAGATGTTTAATCTGATAATACAATCTCAGGTTTGTTTGTTTGTTGTTGTTTTTTGCTTGGGGAAACTGAATTACCAGGAAAAAGCCCTGACCAAGTTCCCAACGTTGAATAGAAGCAGCCGCCCTTCATGCCTTCAACGATCTCTTTTTAGTTCTCGTGAAAAAATTGGATTAGAGTTGGAACGAGCGGCTCTGTTTTCCTTCTCTCTTCTTCCCACTCACTCACCTCTGCTTGTATGTCTGCAGAGGGTGGGGGGGGAGTTGTATTCCTAAAAACAACAGGCAAATCCTTGCAGCATTTTCATAGAACATAGACTAGCAATAGTTGGGAGGGACCTTGAGAGGTCTTCTAGTCCACCCCCCTTGCTTGAGCAGGAGATCCTGTACCATTTCCGTGAAAGGATTGTCCGGTTTCTTCTTAAAAACCTCCAGTGATGGAGCGGCCACGATTTCTGGTTGATTGTTCTCACCATGAGGAACTTTCTCCTTAATTTCTCTCCTTGATTAGAATAGAATAACAGAATTGGAAGGGACCTTGGAGGTCTTCTAGTCCAACCCCCTGCGCCTAGGCAGGAAACCCTACACTACTTCAGACAAATGATTATCCAATCTCTTCTTCCAGTGTTGGAGCATTTACAACTTCTGAAGGAAAGTTGTTCCACTGATTAATTGTTCTCACAGTCAGGAAATTCCTCCTTAGTCCCCTGATTAAGTTTCCATCCATTGTTTCTCATCTTGGCTTTTTGGTGCTTTGGGAAAAAGAGATGGGTTTTTGTTTTTTGTTTAGCTCCAAAAAGCTAGAAGCATCGTTTGCTAATAATCACTCGCGCATCCATCTTGCAAGGTAGGCCGTTCCATCCCCTCCCGAGGTCCCCACCACCAATGCAAAAACTGGGACAGGAAAGGAAGCGGTAGCAGTTAAGAAACAGCCCAGAGAAGATCAAGTGAGGACAGTAAAGAACTAACGCAAGTTTTTGTGGCTTTTCTCTGGCTTCCAAGTTTGGAAAAAAAAAAACTGTCAAAAATGTCTAGTGTTTATTTCAGAGCAGAGGGACAGGTTCCTAAGAAAGGGAAAGAAGAAGAGGTGAGTATGTCGTTTTCCCCCCTTGCCTTTTAAATGAGCTTTTTTGGGCTGTCTGCAATATTCGTTTATTTTTGAATCGCACCGTCTCTCTGCATTCCATTTTGGGGAGTAGACTTGGGTCATTCCCACACCAGTTGAAAACGTTGGGAAATGACACCAGATAGACGTGGCGATTTCAAAACCAGAGTTTGTTGCTGAGCACAAGGTAGGGAGGAAGTGTCAACTGGAAAGAGGTAGCACCTAAATAGAGAAGGGAAGGGAAGGGAAGGGAGGGGGAAAAGGGGGGAAGGGGGGGAGAGCAGGGGGAGGGGAAGGAGAGTGGAGGGGAAAGGGGAAGAGGAAAGAGAAGGGAAGGAAAGGGAGAGGGGAAGTAGAAAAGGGGAAGGGGTAGGAGAGGGGAAGAGGGGAGAGAAAGGGGAGGGAGAAGGGAAAAGAGAAGGAAAGCGGGAGGGAAGAGGAAGGGGAGGGGAGGGAGAGGGGAAGGGAGGGAGGGAGGAAGGGGAGCGGGAGGGAAGGGAGGGAGGAAGGGGAGGGGAGGGAAGGAGGAAGGGGAGGGAAGGGAGGGAGGAAGGGGAGGGGAGGGAGAGGGGAAGGAGGAAGGACGGAGGGGAGGGGAAGGGGAAGGAGGAAGAGGAGGGGAGGGAGGGAGGGAAGGGGGAGAGAAGAGAAGAAGGGGAGGGAGAGGGGAAGAGGAAAGAGAAGGAAAGGGGGTGGGGGAAGGGAAGGAAGGAAAGCTTTAGAAATGGATCTTTGATGCCAGTCTTGGGGTAAATATAGAATATTTTAAGGTCGCAATAACAGAATCAGGCAGGTCTAACGTCAGCTCTCCCCTCCTTGTCCTTCCCAGGCCCCTTTTCCTTCTGTGGGCTGAGCTCTCCCTTATCCGACCATCGTCTCCCTCTCCCAAGGCCATTCTCCCAAGACCCCTGGTTGCTTCTCCCCCAACCTCCCACCCCACCCCCGGGGCGCGTGACGAGGACCGCAGGCGCCTACCCCCAAGCATCATGGCTTCCATCGGACCACCTGCCGCAGGTGGAGTTCGCTCTCCGCCGCCACGATCGGCTGTCCGTTTTGCAGGTGATAGTTGATGAGGTGGCTGATGCTTTCAAACAAGGCGTCCTTCGTTCTCACCTGAGGGAAACAAGGGTGAGAAGCGGGGAACGGAAAGCTCCCTCCCTGATCAGGAATCCAGATTCCGGCGAGTCAGTCGGATAAACCCAACAAACCGACGAGAACCTACGTTGGCAGATTCCGGGAAACCAGTCTGCCCAGAACCCACCGCCCTCCTATCCCGATAGTCCTCGACTTACCAACAGTTCGTTTCACGACGGTTCCAAGTTACAATGGCACCGTGACTCCCAAAAGTTACCGGTTACAACAACGGTAAAAAGAACTTACGACTGTGTCTCACACTTAGGACCGTGGCTGCATCTTGCACGGTCACATGATCGAAATCTCCATGCTTGGCAACTGACTCATATTTTGGATGGTTTCAGAGTCCCGGGGGGGGGGGGGGGGGGGGGGGGGGGCGGTGATGGTATTCCGCCGGTTCTGAGCAGTTCTGGAGAACTGGGAGCGGAAATTTGGAGTAGTTCAGAGAACCGGCAAATCCCGCCTCTGACTGGCCCCGCCCCCATCTCTTCTCTGCCTCCCATTGAGCCCCAGCTGATCGGCTGGGTCTCCTTTGGTTGCCCTGCACAGGAGAACGGAGCTGGAAAGCAGGTTAGTGGGGTGGGGAGAGAATGGGGATTTTGCAAGTATCCTTCCCCTGCCACGCCCACCAAGCCATGCCCACCAAACCACGCCCTCCAAGCCACGCCCAGAGAACTGGTAGTAAAAAAAAATTAATGCCATCACTGGGGTCACAGTTGAAGGGGAAGCCGGATTCACTTAACAACGATGCCATTAACTGAACAACCGCAACGATCCATTCAACAACCGGATCACTAACTGTGCAACTTGCAGTGATTCGCTTCACAAAGGTGGCCAGGAAGATCGTAAAAGGAGGCAAGATTCACTGAACAAATGTCTCGCTCGGCAATAGAAAAGTTGGGCTCAATGGGTGGTCGTACGTCGAGGACGACCTGCATTTATGAGGAAAGATTGCCTAAAATGTGCAATCTGTTTCCCTTGACCTCCAGTGCCCAAAGGAGTAAAAATTATCCAATCTTGGAGAGCTTCATTATAAGCCCTGGGCGAAGAATCATACAGAGAGATACAGGGCAGCCTCTTCATCTGTTAGTAGTGTCCTTTCAGCCTTTGCCACGTTTCCCAATTATTTTCACACATTTCTTTCCTCTTTCTCACAGCAACACTTCCTGTTGGAGGAATCTGTGCTGTGGTGTTGTGCCAGACCTCTCTTGCTCACGTGCTGCACTCCAGCAACAAGGAGGTTATTCATTACACTGAATATTAATGAAAAGCAACGTATTAACTGGCCCATCAACCAAGTCTACTATAATCATCCTTTTTTTCCCCCCGTTATTCTTCACAAATGCTGCCAGCTCATTTATCACTTCATCTCACAACTCAATGGAGGGAGGGAGGGAGGGAGGGAGGGAGGGAGGGAGGGAAGGAAGGAAGGAAGGAAGGAAGGAAGGAAGGAAGGAAGGAAGGAAGGAAGGATGAAGAGAAGAAAGGGAAGGAGGAAGGGGAAGGGAAGGGGAAGGGAAGGAAAAGGGGAAGGAGGAAAGGAAAAGAAAGGAAAGGGAAAGGAGAAAGGGAAGGGAGTAAATAGAGAAGAAAGGGAATGGACGATCTCCTTTTTCCTGCTGGTAGATTCTTTTAGTAGAATAGAATAGAATAACAGAGTTGGAAGGGACCTTGGAGGTCTTCTAGTCCAACCCCCTGCCTAGGCAGGAAATCCTACACCACTTCAGACAAATGGTCATCCAACATCTTTTTTAAAACTGGCAGTGTTGGAGCATTTACAACTTCTGGAGGCAAGTTGTTCCACTGGTTAATTGTTCTCACTGTCAGGAAATTTCTCCTTAGTTCTAAGTTGCTTCTCTCCTTGATTCGTTTCCACCGGTTGCTTCTTGTCCTGCCTTCTGGTGCTTTGGAGAATAGCTTGACTACCTCTTCTTTGGGGCAACCCCTGAGATACTAGAAGACTGCTATCATGTCACCCCTGGTCCTCCTTTCTCTAGGCTATAAACAAGACCTACCCAGTTCCTGTAACCATTCTTCATATGTTTTAGCCTCCAGTCCCTCATCTTTGTAGTGATGCACCCAGAATTTATCATGGGAATTAACTGACCAGCTGACAACGTTGATGATTCAATGTAGAGAAAAGGAAAGTCCTACACTTAGGCAAGAAAAACCAAAAGTACACATATAGACTGGGTGAAACCAGGCTCAATAGCAGTAACTGTGAGAGGAATCTTGGAGTCTTAATGGACAACCAGCTAAATAGGAGCCAGCCGTGTGCAGCAGCAGCCAAAAAAGCCAATTCAATCCTAAATTGCATTAACAGAGGGATACAATCAAGATCAAGGGAAGTACTAATACCACTCTATAAAGCCTTAGTAAGACCACACCTAGAGTACTGCATCCAGTTTTGTTTACCACATTATAAAAAAGATATTGAGGCTCTAGAAAAAGTGCAGAGAAGAGCAACCAGGATGATTAGGGGACTGGAGACTAAAACATACGATGAACGGTTGCAGGAACTGGGTTTGTCTAGTTTAATGAAAAGGAGGATCAGGGGAGACAGGATAGCTGTCTTCCAATATTGGAGGGGCTGCCACAGAGAGGAAGAGGTCAAGCTATTCTCCAAGGCACCTGAAGGCCAGACAAGGAACAATGGATGGAAACTGAACAAGGAGAGATTCAACCTGGAAATAAGGAGAAACTTTCTGACAATGAAAACAATCAACCCATGGAACAGAAGTTGCCCTCGGAAGTTGTGGGAGCTTCATCCCTGGAGACTTTCAAGAAGAGATTGGACCACGATTTGTCAGAAATGGTGTAGGGTCTCCCGCTTGGGCAGGGGGTTGGACTAGATGGCCTCCAAGGTCCCTTCCAACTCTGATGATCTGTGATCTGTTATTCGTCATCTGAGTGATGTCCTCATCCATCCATCCTTATTTATTTATTTTGCTTCCCGACCTTCAAGAAAGTACAGTAGGTGAGCTTCCTTGCAAAGGCCAGGACATCAAGACATCCTCGCTGCCTTATTTCCGTTCC